TCAGCTACCCTAGAAGTTCACATTAGAAAATATATCTGGACATGCCTCGATGACCGGTGGGTCAGTCATCAGAGTTCCATTTACATAAGCAAATATGGATCCTCCTGGAAAAGGACTCATCTTAAATTGAGAGACTTTTTCTTTCAACTTTTTAATTGAATTTGTAATCATACAGAATGTTAAAAGAATTTACTCACCACTTAGATTCAAAACGTGCTACCATTTTGCTGTATTTTCTTTATTCGCTAATTTTTTTAAAAGTCCTGTGATCATTGCCTGAAATAATTGTTTCATTGAGGAGTGGGCATTGCCAAATAGTGATTTTCTGATTCTATCATTTCTTCTACATTTATTATCTACATTATTCTTTTAAAAAGAACTTTTCTTTATCAACTGGAGAGGAAGTAAGTTTTCCTAAAACGATAGTCCTTTATCAGACATGTCTTTTGCAAATATTTTCTCCAGTCTATGGCTTGTCTTTTCATTCTCTTGACAGTGTCTTTCACAGAGTGAACATTTTTAATTTAATGGAGTACAGCTTAATTTCTTTCATGGACCATGCCTTTCGTGTTAGATCTAAAATATCAGCCCAAACCCAAGGTCATCTATATTTTTTGCGGTGTTATGTCACAGAAGTTTTATATTAATAGTTTAGAGTTTTACATTTAGATCTATGATCTATTTTGAGGTAATTTTTGTGATGGGTGTAAGGTCTAGATTCATTTTTTACATGTGAATATCCTATTCAGCACTATTTATTGATAAATCTATCTTTTCTCCATTATATTGCCTTTGCTCCTTTACCAAAAATCAGTTGACTATATTTGTGTATGTCTATTAATATATCCGGGCTCTCTCTGTTCCATTACTCTATTTGTTGATACTTTTGCAAATACTACCCTGTCTTTATTAGTATAGCTTTATAATAAGTCTTGAAGACCGGAAGTGTCAGTCCTCCAACTTTGTTCTTCTCCTTCATTATTATGCTTGCTCTACTGGATCTTTTGCCTATCCATCTAAATTTAAAAATCAGTTCGTTGATATCCAGAAACTTATCTGCTGGGATTTTGATTGGGATTGCATTGAATCTATAGATCAAATTGGGAAGAACTGACAGCTTGACAACATTGAATCTTCCTATCCATAAACATGGAATCTCTCTTCATTTATTTAGTTTTTTATTTTGTTCATCAGATTTTTATAATTTTCCTCATAAAGATCTTATATATATTTTTTTAGCTTTATGACTAAGTATTTAATTGTTGGGTTGCTAATATAAATAGTATTTTGCTTTTAATTTCAAATTCCATTTGTTTGTTGCTGGTATATAAGAAAGCAATTGACTTTTGTATATTAACCTACACTTGCTACCTTGTTATAATTGCATAATAGTTTCAGAAGGATTTTTATTTTTCTTTTTTGTCAATTCTTCCAGATTTTCTACATAGACAATCTCATCATCTGTAAACAAAGACTGTTTTATTTTCTTCCTTGCCAATTTGTATAGTTTTTACTTCCTTTTCTTATCTTATTACATTTCTTATCTTATTACATTATTTACTTCCTTTTCTTATCTAGGACTTCCAATATGATGTTGAAAAGGGTTGGTGAGAGGAGACCTCCCTGTCTTGCTCCTGATCTTAGTGGGAAAGCTTTAATTTGTCACCATTAAGTATAATGTTAGCTGTAAGATTTTTGTACATGTTCTTTATCAAGTTGAGTCAGTTCCCCTCTATTCCTAGTTTGCTGAGAGATTTTATAATGAATGAGGGTTGGATTTTGTCAAATGGTTTTTCTACATCTACTGATATAATCATGTGATTTTTCTTCTTTAGCCTGTTATTATGATGGAATACATTAATTGATTTTCAAATGTTGAACCATCATTAAATACATAGAATAAATTGTACTTGGTCATAAAGTGTAATTATTTTTATACATTATTAGATTGGATTTGCTAATATTTTGTTGATGATTTTTGCATTTATGTTCATGAGTGATATTGGTCTGTATTTTCTTTTCTTGTAATATCTTTCTTTAATTTGGGTATTAGGGTAATGCTGGCCCCATAGAGTAAGTTAGAAAGTATTCCCTTTCCTTCTACCTTCTGGAAGAGATGGTAGAAAATTGGTATAACTTCCTTCTTAAATATTTAGAATTCACCAGTGAACCCATCTGGGTCTGGTGCTTTCTGTTTTAGAAGGTTATTTAATTACTGATTCAATTTATTTAATGAATATAGGCCTATTCAGATTGCCTATTACATGATGTTTTGATAAGTTCAATATGTTCATCTACCATCACTCTTCCCCTCCTGTTAAGATCTTTCAGCAGCTTCATAATTGCCTTCTAAGTTTGGCATATACCTTTCAGTCCATTGTCATCTCACCACAACTCCCTGCATTTGTTACCACTTACATTCCCCCCAAAATATCAAGCTCTGACATACTCCTATGCATTTACAAGGGCTTTTGTGTATTCCTAAAGAATCTTTTTCTAACTTTTGTTTATCTTTCCAAACTCAGCTTGCCCTGGAAGCTTTTCCTGATGTCTCCAGGCAGTTAAGCTGCCTCATTCAACTTGTACAATAGAAAAACAAAAATTATGCTTTAAAACTACAAACAGAAAAATCCAAACTTTCTAATGATTATTGTAAAATTTCAATTCAAGGCCAGGTGCGGTAGCTCACGCCTGTAATCCTAGCACTCTGGGAGGCCGAGGTGGGCGGATTGCTCAAGGTCAGGAGTTCGAAACCAGCCTGAGCAAGAGTGAGACCCTGTCTCTACTATAAATAGAAAGAAATTAATTGGCCAACTAACATATATATATATATAATTAGCTGGGCATGGAGGCGCATGCCTGCAGTCCCAGCTACTAGAGAGGCTGAGGCAAGAGGATCGAGTGAGCCCAGGAGTTTGAGGTTGCTGTGAGCTAGGCTGATGCCACTCACTCTAGCCTAGGCAACAGAGTGAGACTCTGTCTCAAAAAAATAAATAAATAAAATAAAATTTCAATTCAAGATACATAATCAAACAAAAATAAAATGCTGATCTGGTTGTGGATTATGTCCTATACTTTATAAATTCACTATCTAAGATGGAAAGACATATTTGACACAGCATACCAACAATGATACCAGCACTGAACAATAAGGTATCATTTCAGTATAAGATAAAGGTTAAGATATAACAATACTGAAGGCAAACTTGAGTAACCATTTAGGTATTATGCTTAGATGTGTTCATATCTAAAAATGCATTATGATAAGTTTGTATCTTTTTGTTTCCCTGTATTTATTCCGGGCAAGTGACTAAATCCAGTCTCAATCTTTTCATGGGATAAAAATAAATAGTAATTGGTAGTGATGATAAATGATGAAAATGATATTATTTGTATTATTAAAGTAATATCATTATATAACCCCTCTTTCCTTCCACATATAGTATTTGAAACAATATTTTTTTACTATGAATACTTAGTGCTCTGTGAATAATAGCCTTACTATTGAATGAAGAACCCCTTCTCCAACATACTCCCCCTTTATTCATTTTCATAACTTTGACAAAAGTAGTAGAATATGGTGAACACTAGATGGAGCAACATTTCAAGTAGAGTAATCCTTCCTAAGCAAGAACTTTCTAGTATAGCTTAAAAATAAATCATGTCTTGTATATTTCAAAATAGCTAGAAGAGAATAATTTGAATATTTCTAGCATAAAGCCAAATATTTATGGTGATAGATATTCCAATTACACTGATTTTATCTTTACAAATTAAATGAATGCATTAACTTATCACATGTAACCCGAAAATATGTATATCTATTATAGTCTCATTTTAAAAGTTAAAAAAAATAAATGTCTAGAAAAGTAATCACTCATAATTATAGTCAACTGCACACATTTTGCAAGTAAACATAAATGGCTTTGAATATTTCAGGGTTATTAATAGGAGAAAATAGGCAAAACAAAGATTTGGATACACCATTGTATGCTCCCTCAAAATTCATATGTTGAAGTTCTAACCCCCTGTACCTCTGCATGTGACAATATTTGGGGACAGGGTCTTTAAAGAGGCAATCAAGGCCAGGCGCAGTGGCTCACACCTGTAATCCTAGCACTCTGGGAGGCCGAGGAGGGCAGATCGCTCAAGGTCAGGAGTTTGAAACCAGCCTGAGCAAGAGTGAGACCCCTTCTCTACTAAAAATAGAAAGAAATTAATTGGCAAACTAAAAATATATACATAAACAATTAGCCGGGCATGGTGGCGCATGCCTATAGTCCCAGCTACTAGGGATGCTGAGGCAGGAGGATCGCCTGAGCCCAGGAGTTTGAGGTTGCTGAGAGCTAGGCTGACGCCACGGCACTCTAGCCCAGGCAACAGAGTGAGACTCTGTCTCAAAAAAAAAGAGGCAATCAAGTTAAAATGAAGTCATTAAGATGGACACTACTCCAGTATGACTGATGTCCTTATAAGAAGAGGAAATTTGGACACACACACATAGTGGAAAAACAAGGCTAAGCTATAGGAAGAAGATAGCCATCTACAAGTCAAAGAGAGAGGCCTGGAACAAATCCTTCCCTCATGGTCCTTAGAAAAACCCGCTGCTGATACCTTGGCCTTGGACTTCTAACATGCAGAACTGTAAGAAAAATTAATTTCTCTTGTTTAAGCCACTCAGTCTATGGTATTTTGTTATGGAAACAAAGTATTGTAATATTTTGTTAAGGAAATCCTAGCAAATTAATACATGTGGAAAGGAATACTATAATAGAAGAGCCATGAGGATAGGAATTTTCATCTTTTTCATTCATGGATGTATCCCAAACTCCAAGAACAATGCCTGACACATAGTTGGTGCTGAATAAATATTTTTTGAGTGAACTAATAAGTAAAGCAGATTAATAAGATTCTTCCCATAGATAACTCTGTTAAATGCCATTAATGTTAGAGTAATGTTTTTTCCTAAGACCTGAGGATCTGGGCTCCCATTGTCTTACCTGGTGTTGTGGGTATAATTGGTCTGTTGCCACAGCCCAAATGTATAAAATCTTCTGCTGAAACTCTTGTGATGATTCAAATCCTGAGGTAATTTCCTGAAGAAGAGAAGAGCTAAAAAGACATAAAAAAAACAAAAACACCTTGCTGTAATACGATAAATGTGAATTAATCCATGTAGAGAGACAGTTCAAATTTGTTAGTCCCATCCTGGGGAAAATGCTTCATACAGTAACTTACTGGTATTACTGTTCCCTCAAGGTATTTGGTTAGCTGGCCTCACTAAAGGCATTGAGAACAGTCTGGATTAGCAATTTAGAGGGAAAAAAATAAATGAGGACTTTTCTGTTATTATTGAAGCATTTCTTATGGACATGAGAAAAAATTAATTAAATTTCCTTCTGATTTATTCAATTAAGGATTCATGGTGCATATCTGTCTTTAACCTGATCTCCATGTCTTAATGTTATCACTAATACCATCAATCAATACTTAATTTGGTACCCTGAATATGTTTGGCAAATAACAGTAAAAATAAAACATAAAACAAATATGGAATTTATACTCTGATTTTAACTGCATACAAATATCCTTTAAATAACAACCAGAAGAAAAATTCATCAAGATTATAAGAGTAGTTTTGTTAGAGGTGATGAGATTATAAGTAATTCTCTCTTCAAAGTATTCACAATTTTATATAATAAGTCTCCATTTTTAAAGCAAAAAGTTCTAAAAAAAATCATTCTAACTTCTAATCAAATTTAGGATTATATTAGGATTAAAAATCCCCCACAGGGAGAGAGTGATATGCTAATATTTATTTGTAATATACATTTAATTAATGTATCTATACAGACTGCAGATGAGAAAGCCAGAATAACAACTGAAAGTCAGTATATTTGAATCAAAATTGGAAACTCTCACCTATTCTGAAAGCAATTTAAAAACTAAATCAAAGCTTGTTCTTAGTTTGGGAACTGGAATTAGCTCTAGAACTGATGCAATCTGAAACCAGAGCCAACAAGTGTTTACCAAAGTCTTTGTCCCAAAGGAAAGGCTTCTTTTCTAATTCTCCAGAAGTGACGCTGTTGGGATTGCCTTGAGACTTCAGCTAAGGAGCTGGTAGTATAGACATTAAATTCATTTTGAAGCTTCATTTTCCTTTCCAGCAAAAATGAAATCTAAAATCTTTTTCACAATATCCAATTTGTAATCAAGCCCTCCTCTACTGAAGGGTTTAATTCACTTCTTGTGCATTTGCCCCTTTTTCCTGGGAACCACAGCATTAACAGGAAATTCATGCCTCAGGGGCTTACTTGTTACAGAATGGAAAAAATGAAGCTGTGGACTTTCTCAAGGATGATTTAGAGAGCAAAGATCATTAAATTACTGCACTGCCCTCCTTATCGTCTTCAGAAGGCTAATAAACAAAGTGACTGCACAAGCTACACTCCACCCCAGGAATATAAACAATTCTTTGACAGGATTTGACTGGAAGTCAACTTGAGAGCTCTGAATCAGGTTTTTATCACATTGGAGCCTGCACCCTGTTGCAAGGATCAAGATAATTGGGTATTATTACACAGCCAAATATTGAGCACATTAAAAAAGAAGAAAAGGGCTTCTCGCGAGGGAGATCTTGGTGGTGATGGAATAGTTTTATATCTTGATGGCTGTGTTTACATGAATCTACACGTGTGATTAAAAGGACATAGAACTATATGTACACACATTGTGTCACTGTCAATTTCCTGGTTTTGATACTATAGGTAAGTAAAATGTAACTACTTGGGAGAAACTGAGTAGAAGGTACATGTGACTTCTCTGTACGGTCTTTGCAACTTCCTGTGAATCTGTACTTATTTCAAAATAAAATGGTTTTAAAAGTGCGCCTTCTTGTGTACAATTAACATACTTTGAACATTCTGCGTTAGAACAAGTCATGGAGAATAAAACAGCGCAGTTTTCAAATGTGAGGTTTTCAGCCCCAACCCAAGAGAAGGCTCGAGGTTGGGGATGCCCTCGCATAAGTTCTTCCCTCTGCCTGGGACACCCTTTCCCACCTCCAGCACCACCTGTCCCCCTTCCCAAGGTTGGCTGGCTCCTTTGCATCTTTCCGGCGACATCTCAAGGCCACCTCCTTTCAGAGGCCTTCCCTTATCCCCCCAAGTAAAGGAGATGCCCTTTGCTACTCTCTGAATACTCCATGCCCTTCACAGCGCCTTCACCAGGTGTACTGATTCGTTTACCTGTGTGTTGCCTGGCTCCCCACTGGAGCACGCAAATTCCATGAGGGCGGGCCCGCGCCTGCCAGGCCGCTGCATCCCCAGCTGGAGCACACCAGTGCTCCAGAAGGATTTTGTTTGAATCAGTGCACCTCACTGGAACTCGTTCACTTCGGCTGGGGGTGGTCATGTTGGTCCCTCAGGTCAGGCTGGCCTCGGTGCCCCTCCGCCTGCTCCCCTCAACTCAGGCCCCACCCGGTCAAGAGAGGGCGCCATTTTCCTCCCTCTGACTCCTCAGCCCAGAGGGGGCGCCTGGATCCAACACCTCGACCCACTGAGACGCCTTTTCCTCACTCGCACCTTTCCCCCTGGCCATCCTCTGGGCCGCCTCCGCAACACCCTCAGTCCCCGCACTGTGGCCGCCTTTCCCTTCCGAAGTCTCCGCTCGGCCCCGACCCCAGCAACTGGGGGAATCTAGCCCCTCAGACCACACCCTTCGGCCCGCGGACTGAGCGGGAAGCGAGCGCAGAGCTCCGCGAGGGAGGCGGGAGGGCGGAGGATGGGGGCGTGTCCTCCTTGATCCTGGGCGTGGATTGGCGGGGGCGCGGGGAGGGGGCGGGACCTAAGGGGGCGGGGCTGTAGCCTGGGTCTCTAGTCCCCCGGCCCCTCCGGGCATTCCTGGCGGCTCTGGCGTCTGCGGGCCCTCGCTGACAGCCCGACTCCGGCTCCTGCAGCATGGCTGAGAAGCGGCACACATCGGACACCGAAACCCGGCGGGCCCCCACCGCTTTCAGTGGTGAGCCCCGCGCGCCCCTCAGCCCTCCCCCGGGGACCGAGCCCCCGCCCGCAGCGTGAGCTCCTCGGTCTGACGACCGGGTTCCCGGCCGGTCTCCGCTGCTTTGGGCTGTGCGAGCTCCTCTCGGAGCGCGGTCACCTCACTCCTAAGCTGAGAACAATGAACCCTGTCCCGCAAGCTGGGGGTCTCGACTTAGGGGCGGTGGGGTGCAAAGCCCGGCCTACGGTGGCCGTGCCGGTGGCGCGGGGCGTTTCCGATACCCTGCGCAGTGGCGGGGGCCCGCGTTATCCCGCGCTCGCCAGATGCCAGGCGCCGTGCCAGCGCTTCGTTATCTCGTGGCGCGCGCGATCGAGGAAACGCAGAAGGAACCGGCAGCCAGCGGGCAGGGAGCCGGCGCCCCGCGTCTGCACCCCTCGCCCGCTCCCCTGCCCGCCCCGCCCCCTCGGAGGCCGCCGCCTCCGCCCAGCCCTCGCCCCGCAGGGGCCGCCCGCGCCTCGGGAGCTGGGAAGAACTCTGGGTCCCCCTCCCGCAGCTCCTGACACACAGTAGGCCGCATTTGCAGAAGAAGGAAGGGAGGTCTCTCTTTGGCTCTCTTCCCACCTCTCTTTCTGGCTCCGCTTTCTGCCCTGTTTTCCCGCTCTGCTTTACTGTGTCTTAGAGAACTCTCCTTCCCGGCTTTTGTCCCTCACGAGGAACTCTAAGTTCCCCTACCCTAACCCTATCCTGCTAGGGTGTTCTCAGTCTTGAAGATGGGAGTGTCTCAGTCTTCTTCCTTTGAGAAGGAATTAGCACTCCTGAGAGGGCTACCACCTTGAGCCTTTATTGGCTAACTCCGGGGATAGGGGGTTTCAATAAGGAGAGGTGATGGACCTCTCCTTTTGGAGAGGAGTGTTGGTATCTTCTGGGGAGCTCTTAGTGGTCCAAATTAACAGTATTTCTAAAGATGCAATTTCAGACAGGATGACACAGAGAAAGAAATTTAGGCAGCTGGGTGGGCTTTTGCAGCACCCTACAAAGAACACTACATTGAAGTCATCTGTTCTGGTTATTTGTAAAGCCAGTTTTGTCCATCCATTTTATATAAGTCCCCTTTGTCTTGCCCAGGGATCCCTGTCTTTTTAGTTCCTTACCAGGGGCATTAAAAGAATTTCAGAAATCGTTATCCCTCACTTTTCACTACTGAGCACCTTGGAAAGTTATCTTCCCAAATTGGGAGTGTACATATACGGGAATTGATGAGAATAATACCGAAATGCATAAATACATAAGTAAAACTTAAACACTGAATAGGCCAGGCTCTGTGCCAAATATTGTATATACATTATTTTATTGAATTTGCACAGCAGATGATGTGGTATGTACTGTTCTTATCCCTACTTTATACTTGAAGAAACTGATACTCAAAGGGGTTATGTTGCTTAAAATCACACAGTTTATAAATAATGGAGCCATATTTTACATCTGGATTTGATTGATTCTAAAACTTGAACAGGAAAAAAATTGTTTCACTTCCTCCATAGTTAGTTGTCTTATCCTAGATAAAAAGATGGGTAGCATGCATTCCTCAGTACCCTGACCCCCTGGTGGGAAACTGCAGTGGGAAATCTGTTTGGAGGAGTTATTTAGGAATAAACATGATCTTTGTACTTAATGTTTATTTAGTTTCTCATGGTTACAGACCAGTTTTTACTTCTAAGTTTTGTTTTTTTTCTTGGTTCTACACTTAACTAATTTTTAGACAGAAATCTTTTAGGAATCTTATGGAAACTAATGTACCCTCTCAGAAAATTATACATACAAACACAATTTTGCTGGTCTGTTCCCCCCCCTTTTTTTAATGTAAACCTTCAAGACTTGAGATTGGTAGGAAAGCTATTAGTAGAATTTATTAAATAGAATTTTTAAATGCTTGCCATGTGCCAAACACAGCCTAAGTGATTTACAAACATTATCTAATTGCAATTTTGCAACAGCTCTGCAAGGAAAACGTCACTGTTCACCACTTTACAATAAGGAAACTGAGGCTAAGAGTTTAGAGCCAGGTTTCAAACCTGGGCTATCTGATTTTCCAAACTGTTTTCCCTGTCCTAGAGATGCATACCAAAATGTAGAACCCTGTCTGACATCAGTACTTTACTTGAGAGACAATAAACAAACAAAGCGTAGAGGAACCCTGCTTCAGACCTGTTGGATAAGGCAGGTCCAGAGGGTTGCTTCTGAGGGAAGCAGTGGAATCATAAAAGCCCAAACTCTGCCTCCTAGGAGTTTGCTGAGCTTTAGTTCTAGGTATGGAATGTGACCAAACCTAGGCAAAACCAGTTTTTCTTAAAGCTAATACATTCACTTTGAATGAAATAATGCAGGTGGATTGCAAATAAATGTATCATTATAATTAAGAGCTATATCAACAGAAGGAATCCCTTTGGGAGAGTGACTGAAAATAAGAAGAATCATGGGACTGATTTGTTTATTTCAGTTGTTATAGCCGATTGGGGAGAACATTGTAACTTCTTCAATAATTAATCTGAACTAAACCAGCAATGGTCATAAATTAACTCAAACGGTAGACCAAGTCTACAAAAACTGGCATTTATGTATTTTTTTAATGATTAAATAGGTTCTTGGTGCCATCTGATGGTATGAATTTTGCAGGGTGAAAGACAAAGTCGCTGATTGACTAGTAAGCTTTGAAGAAAAAAAAATTTTAAAGAAGTGGATACAATGATACAGATAGGGTTCAAAATAAATTTTTTAAAAAGACTTGGAAAAGCATTTTCCTGAAAACTATTGCAACGATACCTGTTCTCTGTGTCTGCCTTGCATCCTGTACACGCCTGTCATATGTTTATCATACAGTATTATAATTATCAATTTGATTCATCCACCTCCCCACCACCCCATGAGAGCTTGTGAATGCATAGACTGGCCTTCCTCATTATATCAACTACATAGTAGGTGTATAAAAATGTTTATTGAAGGCCGGGCGCGGTGGCTCACGCCTGTAATCCTAGCTCTCTGGGAGGCTGAGGCGGGCGGATTGCTCAAGGTCAGGAGTTCAAAACCATCCTGAGCAAGAGCGAGACCCCGTCTCTACTATAAATAGAAAGAAATTAATTGGCCAACTGATATGTATATAAAAAAAATTAGCCGGGCATGGTGGCGCATGCCTGTAGTCCCAGCTACTCGGGAGGCTGAGGCAGAAGGATCTCTCGAGCCCAGGAGGTTGAGGTTGCTGTGAGCTAGGCTGACGCCACGGCACTCACTCTAGCCTGGACAACAAAGCGAGATTCTGTCTCAAGAAAAAAAAAAAAAAAATGTTTGTTGAAAGAAAAAGAAAGCAGGTAGGGAGATAAAGATCCCCATAGAGTAAATTACATTGGTAAAGATTTGGCTTACGTTGATAGTGGAACAATTTTTCTGTTTGCAGTTTATTTCATTAAGTTTGTTATAACCCAAACTGTTGACTTTAGGGTGTGACCATCATGTTTCTTGTTATATATTCTTATTACAGATAGAATATTTGTCTGGGTTTACATCATCAATAAAGGGATTATAATTGTCAAGATAATTTATTGTGCCTAGTAAGGAATCTTCATTTACTTACTAAATCAGAAAAAGAGAAGCTAGAACATTAGCCTCCAACCTTTTTGGCACCAGGGACCAATTTCATGGAAGACAGTTTTTCCACAGATGTTGGGGTGGGGTATGGCAAAGAGGCTCTGCGCCCTGGTCCCCTAACAGGCCACGGACTGGTACCAGGGGTTGGGGACTACAGCATAGATTGATTACTTTCCACTTTGATATTTCAAGACCTCTGAGATTCTGGGCCAATGTTAAGGAGTGTTGCAAAATGATTTATAGGGATTAATGACAGTAAATCCAACTATGGTGGAGAGCAGTGGCGATCCTTAATCCATGGTGAGTTTAGGGCAGCGGTCCCCAATCTTTTTAGCACCAGGGACCATTTCATGGAGGCAATTTTTCCACGGGAGCTGGGGGATGTGGAGCTCAGACGGTGATGCAAGCGAGGCAGAGTAGCTGTAAATGCAGATGAAGCCTCCTTTGCTCACTTGCCCCCTGCTGTGCACACCCCCCAAGTTTCATGGAAGATAATTTTTCCATGGCCGAGGAGAGGGGGTACGTGGCAGAGTTCTGCAACCCTGAGGATGGGGACCATAGAATTAGAGGACACAATTGGTGGAAAGAAGGAAGTATGTGTCAATTCTCTATTGACACATACTTGTTTCTCCATTCTTTTTGAGTCTTTGTCTTTTCTCTGGAGCTAGTAAAGTAACTTTGACCCCAAGCATTTGGCATGTTATATCAGTAGATCAGCCTTGAAGATACAACCAATGAAGTGTCTGCCCTAAAGTCTCAGACAGCTGAATGCAATGGCTCATACATGTAATCCCAGCAACTCAGGAGGCCAAGGCTGAGGCATGAGGATCGCTGGAGCCCAAGAGTTGAAGGCTGCAGTGAGCTATTATCATACTACTGCACTCCAGCCTGGGTGACAGAGTGAGATCCCATTTCTAAAAAAAAAAAAATAAAGTCTCAGACAATGAAAATTATACCAAACTTGTTGTCCAGTTAGAGTAAGCACTATGGTACAGTAGTAGAGTTTAGTGAAATAAGAGTGGAATTTATAAGTAAAACTCTAGGTTGAGGTTGCAATATTATCACTTAAAGATTTGTATGAGAGATGGTCCAAGAAAGTTTAGAACTCTGACTTACTACCCCACATGTAGTCTGTTTCTCCTCCAGAGATAGAGTCCCCAAGCAAACTGTTAGTCTTGATATTTTCTCCTTGGTATGCTGGTCCCAGAAGGCAATTCACTTAATAAAAGTTTATTCCTGCAAACTATATTAATAATGATCTGAAAGTTGTGATAATAATAGTGTCCACTATTTATTGAACATTTCCAAAGTGTCAAACACTTTACATATTTTCTCATTTTATCTTCATAGCAACTGTGTGAAATGTGTACTATTCTTTCTCCCCCATTTTACTGATGAGAACATTTAATGGTAGAAGTGGAATCTGACACCAAACACTCAAGCTCTTAGCCACTGCTTAGCTATTTCGCCTCAGTGAAGAATTGGGAACCTTATGATCTAGTTTCTTTATGCTTCTCTTTCCCATTTTTTAAATGAAAGTGATTTACCTTCCAAAGACCTTAATGAGAAAAACTTAATTATAGATAATTTTAAGATGTCTGAGCAAAAGAGCTGGGGGAAAAAAACTGAAAAAGTAGGAGGTTTTCTGTTTTCATGTATTTCAGGCCTGGTCTAAATTTAATTAACTTAATACCCATTATGAAATTGTTTTTCTCTCTAATTTTTCTAAACATGAATGTTTTTATGTTTCCAGACATGGGCATGTTGAACCCATTTTTCTACCTTCCTGAATTCTCTCTAACCTCACAGTTGGAAAAGGTCTGATTTTATAAAAAAGAAAAACCCTTGAGGAAAGCTGTTGACAACTACGTTGGGACAGAGGGTGATTCTGAATTGTTTTCTTGGATCTTGTGTGCTGATGCATAGTTTCAGTTTGTCTTATGTAACATCAGTCTTTTCTTTTTTTTTTATGTGTCCACTTATTGTAATAACAATACATATACCATGTTATCACCATGGAATGTAAGTTCAGAGAGAATACACAAGAGAATTACAAGTGTAATGAGAATATGACACAAGAGAATTTGACAAGTGTAATGAAATATTCTGTAGTATATCAAAGTTTGTGTACAATGTTTGACCAAATCATCTTGCTCATAAATCATTAATCACTCCCATTATAGGCAATTTGTTTATTTTAACGTTTCTAATTCTTACAGAGAAAATAAACATAATGCACACACTTTAAAAAGTTCTTTATTTACCTATGCATTAATGCTTAAAATACATTATTTTTATTTCAAAGTGACATTTAAAAATTACACAAATATAACCGCAGCAAAAATATAATTTTACAGTTACAAAAGGGCTAAATGAGAATCCATAATTAAGTTTTTCTTGTGTTTACAATCGTGATTCTGAAATAAATACTACTACTATACAGCTCTGTTGTAAGCTTTCTAGGTTTGGTTTAAACACATACACATACACTTTCAATTTTGAAAGGCTTTACAAATTATATTCATGCACTTTTTTTAAAAAGAGTTCTAAAAGAACCAACCAGTCCCCAAAACTGAAGTACTCAACCAGTCCCCAAGACAGGCAGAAAAAAGTTAAATTAACTGGGGTAAACAGGACTCCTACATGACATCCAAAGCATGAGATGTTCTGCAGCAAACTGGGAGTACTTCAGGGTTGGCCTGCTGTCCTCTTTAGAACTAATTTCATTTAACAGTTTAAGAAGGTGGACATTTTAACATCACCAAGTGCATTTAGGTGACATGTTTCTTTTTGTGCTAACTTGACTCCCGTGAATGACCTAGTTAGTGAACTAGTCACTAGTAATTTGGTCACCAGGCAAATCAAGCTGCAAGAAAGGAAGCCAATATTCAAAATACTGTATTATTGTCTGAACTCACTGAAATAATTTATTTTTGACATCGATAGGTAACCTCAATAACTAAATCAAGCTCCTCCAACAAGACCAAGACAAAGACAGCAGCTCTTCTTCTAAGGTTTAGGTTTTGCCTAGAATTCCCAATACATGGAATAGCCCATACCCAGAGTCATTGCTCCCACAACAAAGCCTTGGGCTGCCACACACATGCGTATCAGGTGAACGGACATTTTAGTATTTCCCCTGCTCTTCAATTTGTATAATCCATATGCAACAATTGCTGCAAAACCTGCCATTCCAATGGGGACAAATGGTGCCTCTTTAGCTTTTTGGATAAGTTTGGATCCCTGATCTTCATCATATGAAGAAAGAGAAACATCTGTGTTGGTTGACATAGTATTGCTTGAAGAATCTTCCCAGAGCGAGAAAACCCCTTACGGTACCACTGGCTTTGACCCCCCATCAGTCTTTTCTTCCAGAGAAACAACAGAATCAATCACTCAACTCGTTCAGCAACTATTTATTTAACAAATTTTTTGGAGTACCTATTTTGAACTAGGTATCTTCCATTTTGCTCATTTACTCATCACACTAACCCTCTGAAGAAGTATTCTTATTAGCCCTATTTTTAAATGGGTAGACTGAGGCACAGAGGAGTAAGGTACTTTCCCACGGTCACAAAGCTATTAATAGTAAGTGGCAGAGCCAGCTCTGAACCCATTATGCTATATTGTTTTGACAAGACCGACACTGAATAAGATGATTACAAGTATGATAAATGTTTTTTAAAGAGGATTAAGTGCTATTGCAGCTTAAGAGAGAAAGGCCTATTTAAGACTGAGGGGTCCAAATTTAAAAGTATTAATGTGGCTCTTACCTATTTTCTTCCTCCTGTTTTATGGCCTGAAATATTTGAAAATCTTCAAAGTGCTTGGGAAATACGATATTTATGCTTACTTAATTTCCTTATTCTTTTTGAGGTAAGCAAAGGATTTCCTTTATTTCAACTTCTGTTGAAAAATCTTTCTTAAAAGGATTAGTCCATTTCCTTTCCTTAATATTTCATGGTAAACACATTTTAAGCTTTGTGATTCAAATCATATAATGCCTTGTCAGTGTCTATTCTTTTGGTTTAGTATTTATAGCCATAGATGGTTTATAACAGGGAGGAAAAGTTACAGTTTTCAGTCATGGTTCTTAACTCACTGCCATCTGGCCTGTAGTCACCCTAGCCCAGAGAATAATTTCCTCTCTAGAGGTTTAAGGATAAGGGTATTTGAAGAACTAAACTGTGCCTAATTAAAGTAATGATTTGAAAGGCAAGCTATAGTGGGTGCTTGTTTGCTTTGAAATACTCTGCCTAAATAAATTGCAAGTTGTGATCTACAATTAAACACCATGTTTTTTCAACATATATTTATTGAGACCCTACTAAAGTCTGCCTCTTTCTTGCCTCTAGCTCTTTTAATCTTTCTATCTTTGTAGAATACTGCCTTTATTTTTGTGTGTCTCCCATCTTTACTCCTTTCTCCTATTTATTTTATTTCCTTCCTTTTTTGTTATCTCCTTCCCTTCTTTGTCTTTTTCTCCTAAAATTCCAGCCATTTGAAAAATTCAGTTATAATAAAAATTTGATTATTTGAAGATGTATTTATATTCAATTTTACTTGCCCTTTTGCTTATTTTCACCTTGAGTTCTTATTTATCAGGTCTTACAAAGACCTTGTTTCAAAACAAGCAAAGAAAAAAGAAACTGAGAAGCTGGGATATGTACTCCTATTTGAATAGCTGGGAGTAAGATCAAATGCATTACTTAATTTATGAAAATCTTCCTACTCAAATAAATAGTTGTATGAGATAAAACAGGAACAGGGCTCCTAACAGCCTTTGGACCAAATCTGGCTGACTGCCTATTTCTGTGTAATCCACAAGCTATGAATAGTTTTTACCTTTTAAAATGTTTTTTTAAAAATCAAAAGAAGAATAATTTTTCATTACATGTGGAAATTATATGAAATTCAGATTTTAGTGTCCACAAATTAAGTTTTATTGGAATACACCCATGCCATTCATGTATGTATTGTCTACGGTTTCCTTTGCACTATTAGTAGCAGAGATGTGTAGTGGCAACAGGCTTCATGGCCTGCAAAGCCTAAAATGTTTTACTCTCTGGCTCTTTACAGGAAAAGTTTGCCAAATCCTGAGATAGAATCTCTAATGAGGAATCATCGAGTGGTCAAAAAGAACACTCATATTCTGAATATATATGCTTTTAAGAAGAAAAGTCAAAAATTACCAAGATCTTTCATGTTGACTTACTATTACCCCTTTAAAAAGAACTGTTAGAACTGGATTGCACGTTTTTGAGACTAAACTCCCAACCATCCTATGTTTACCCACCCAAACTGCACTATTCTTGGCAGTTCACAACATAAGATATTTCACCTGCACTCTGTGAAAGGAAAGGAAAAGATTGTGCTTTAAATGTTGCAACTTAGGTATTTCAATAATTCTTAAGCCCGTCCTTTCCTTTTTGTGTGCAATAATGCATGTAACTCAGAGTCAGAATTTCAGATACTATGTAAGACGTTTCTGGCCTTTCCCAGCAGAGGAAATCCAGTATCTTTTGAACTTCAGAATAATTAAATCTCAGTGATGAATGGAATTTATTACTCTTCATGATTTCCAGTAGTGCCAAATTCAATAGATCTTAGAGTAAATCAGCTGATATGGGATTGGAAACAGCATACAATGCTCTGGACATGAGCCTATATTGTCATCTTGGAAAGAATGTTTTACTGCTTTTCCAGAAGCTGACCCAACAAAATTTACTATACAACTTGTCTTTTTTCATTTGTTTGTTTCAGTTTTCTTTTGTTTTCATTTGTCTCTTCCCAGAAGGTCTTTAGCTTTATTATTAATACTTTAGAACTCCAGGAGGAATATTTTATAGTTACTTTACAGATTTTTGTAAATATTAGAAATACTAATGTACTTAAGGAGCTAGCTGTGGCTAACATGTAATAAGCATTCAATAAACAGTAGTTATTAGTAATAATAAAAGATACTTCAATAAGAGAAATTTAAGAATTGTATAATTTCATCTTTTCAGGAAACTTAATTTACGTAGGAAGTAAGCAAGTACAGAAACTTTGCTAAAAGTGTATTCAATGCAGCAGAGTTTCTAATTGAGAAATTTGGATGTGACTTAAATGTTCATCATATGAAACAGTGGAATATTATACTACCATTAATAATGTTAAAGAATATGTACTGACATGAAAAACATGTTCACAATGTAGGGAGGGAGAAATAGATTTTAGATCATTATATATACCACTATTTCATTTTTGAAAAAAATAGGATAGAAAAGGTTTAATGGACATACAGCAAGGCAAAACATAATCCCTATCCATAGATAATGAAAGTATAATTTTTCTTTTTCTATTTAGCTACAATTTCTGATTTTTATAGTGATTATTTTGCTTTTAAAATAAAAAGCAATAATTTTTTAAAATTTATGTTAGTTTCCTGTAGGTAAACCCAACTTGAATGTTCAATACAAAAGTTTAAATGTATAGGCTTACATCCATTTTTCAGTCCTTTGTTTTGATTAGTCAAAAGTTTATTCTTGGTGGCTTATACCTGTAATCCTAGCACTCTGGGAGGCTGAGATGGGAGGACCAGTTCGAGACCAGCCTGAGCAAGAGCAAGACCATGTCTCTACAAAAACTGGAAAAATGAGGGGGGTGTGATGGCACATACCTTCAGTCCCAGCTAATTGGGAGGCTGAGGCAGGAGGATCACTTGAGCCCAGAAGTTTGAGGTTGCAGTGAGCTATGATGATGTCACTGCACTCTAGCCCTGGCAACAGAGTAAGACTCTGTCTCAAGGGGAAAAAAATAAGTTTACTCTAATATAGTTTTTAGGAAGGAGTTTGGTAGTAAAAGAAAAAAAATGCTCTAAACCATGGCAAATCAGTATTTACAACTAAGTATCGCATAGGATCCCTAAATTTGAGGCATGCTACCACCCAGCAAAATATCAACAAGTATATCAAGCAAAATATCTCAGGAATGCTGATTGCCTGTTATTTGTCAATTGTGTCATAAAGCTGGCAGGAAGGATTCAGTCATAAAGTAATAAATGAGAAACTTGAAGGAAATGAATTTCATGAAGTTTTGTTGGGAATTTCTTTCCTCTTATTCCCAGAGGTGGTAGATGACTAAGGGTTCATTTACAAGCCTGGCAAAATTTCAGCCTCACCTCTCTGAGGAATGTGATTTATGCACCTTTTTGAGCTATAAGTCAAGTGAGGAAGAATTTTGAGGGTTGAGAATGGGATAATTTGATTTTAAAGGCATTAGAAAAATATGAAAGTGCCATTTACCCAGTGTATTCGCTGATTATTTCTAGCTGAGCATTCAACATGTGAAAGAGCAAGCCTGGTTTTCAGAATATCCTACTGAATTTCTTATTTCTCTTGCTTTGTAATCCCATATTCTCATACGGGGTTTTCTAAAACACAATGTGACAATGGAAACAGCACAGAAAAACTGGGCTGAACCTTCTGGCTTGTCTTCGTGTAGATCTCTCCATAAATGAGCTTCTTGAGAGTGTTTGAATGTCCATGCCTAGCCTGCCTGGGGGGAGGCATGAAGCAAAGGACAAATTAAATTGTTTACTAGGCATTTATCAAAAGGGTTAAGTGTCATCTATTTTCCCATTTTTCACCATGAAAATTTGAACACTTGAGTAGGATTGAAAAATTATAGAAAACTATCATCCAAATTTACTCAGCACTATCTCAATTCTATGAGGCCAGTCCAATCTTTATTTTTTTATGGGAAAGGAAACTAAGATTCAAAGAAGATCATACAACTAAGAAATACCAGAACTGAAATTTAAACCTAGACATTCCTCATTCTCAGGAAATCTCAGTCTAATAAGGAACAAAATGCCCAAGAAATTAAAATATTAGGCAAAAATATAAGTGCCACAAGAGAGGTTAGAAAATGCTATCAAGATTCAGAGGAAGGAACAAACATATCTAGCTAGAAAGCTTGATAAGTATTTTATTTCCATGAGGTACAGTGGCTCATGCCTGTAATCCCAACACTTTGGGAGATTGCTTGAGGCCAGGAATTAGAGACCAGCCTAGACAACATAGCATAGACCTCCATCTCTACAAAAAAAAAAAAAAAAAACTAGAAGTATTTTATTTTATATCCATTCTATGCAGGATACTGTGCTAGACATTGGGAATATAACAATGAGTAAGAAACACCCTGTCAGGGAGTTATAATGTTCAGGACACAGAGCTATGTAGTTTGTTTGCCTAGAATATGGGAGACTTGGGGGAATATTTTACAAAGTATTTGTGACCAATCTATTCCTAGTTTGGAATCCATTTCACTCTGGAAACCTAGAGCTGAGCCTGGCACAGAGTCTTGAAACTATATTTTTCTGTAAATAGGCACAGGTGGAATTAAGAGGGAGTGGATATTCAGTAAGAATATCAGATTTCATTTTCAGAACTCCTGTGCTTTCCCTGTTTGGATACTGTCTCGGGAAAGATGAAAACATCTTTAATGAGGACGTTTTTTTATTCAGAGAGGAAGGGTCAAAGAGTGAATTTCATGGACTTTGGAGTAAGCTGACCTATATTTGGATCCTACGTCCTCCATAGTGTGCCCTTGGGAAAGTTTATGTTCCTTTAGTTGCCTCATTCATAAAATAGAGTTTAAAATATCCTCACAGGGCGATTGTAGAGTTAAATGAGGTACATGTCTAAAGTGATTTAACACAATGCCTGGGGCATAGAAAACCATTCAAAACAGCCACTGATGTTGTTGTCACACTATGATATTGTCATAATGTCATAATACCTGATAGAACTTTCTCCACAAGCAGCATTGTGGCCCTGCTTTGAGTATTCTCTCAGTGAATACGTCTGTGCTCCCAAATTATAACTTTGAAACCTTCAGGACTACCTTAGATCACTTTATTTAAGTATGCATGAGGACATTTACCTCACACCATGACACAGGATCAGAAAATTACAAAGTCAGATATAACCAAAGTACTCACTGTATTTCTGCTTTTTCATCCTGTCTTTAGAGCACTTGACCTTGATCCCAACGTGTTTCTCTTTTCTCTCATGCTCCCAGCCTGAACTCTCTGCTTATTTCTTGGCCTCCTATTTATTCAAATCCTTACCTCACTGCCACTTTGCCCTTTCATCTGAGCAATAACACATGCTTGGCATACCTTTTTTTCTCTTGCAAGACTCTCTCTCACCACTAAAACAGCTCCTAGAAGTATGGCAGAAGCCTTCTAAGGGATTATAAAAAAAATTGATACTATGCCTTGGCCTTCCCTGTGTCCTCCACAGAAGGGACATGCAAACTAAAAATGAGGGATACTCTGGATACAGAAAATAAGAGCACACGAGAGGTGACAGGAATTCCCAGGACGATAGTGAAAGGCATTCCGAAAATGCTGGCTGTGCACACCAAATGACAGAA